CCCAATCACCTCAACACAGCACAAGCACTGGTGCTTGATGTAAATGGAGCAGTTCCTCTTGACACAATCCCACAGTGAGGTGGGCTGGCAGGACACAGATGTGACTGTCCATCCCTTCTGGCCTGCTTCCCCCTTTCCAGCATTTACTCGTAAAGCAATGATCCACACAGGAACTGGAAGAGCAACTTCACTCATTGTGGCCATCCTTCCCAATCATAACAGCACCCCTCTTCTACTACAGGTCAAGTCGAGCATTATCTGGGTGTTGGTTCCATCTGAAGGAGGAGGGACACAAAGATGATCAGAGGGCTGCAGCCCCTCTTCTATAAAGACAGGCTGAGAGAGTTGGGGTTGTTCAGCCTGGAGAAGAGCAGGCTCCAGGGACACCTTATAGCAGCTTTCCAGTACCTGAAAGGGGCTCCCAGAGAGATAGGAGGGACTTTTTGCAAGGGCCTGCAGTGATAGGGCAAGGGGTAATGGTTTTATGCTGGAAGAGGGGAGATTTAGGTTAGACATTAGGAAGAAATTGTTTCCTGCGAGGGTGGTGAGGCACTGGCACAGGTTGCCCAGGGAAGCTGTGGGTGTCTCTCCCGGGGAGTGTCCAGGGCCAGACTGGATGGGGCTTTGAGCAACCTGGTCTAGTGGGAGGTGTCCCTGCCCATGCAGGGGGGTTGGAACTAGATGATCTTTAAGGTCCCTTCCAACCCAAACCATTCTATGATTCTATGAAACAACTATGTGGCTTTAAGAATAATGGAGTCTTTCCCAGAAGTTCCTTTCCCCTCTCCCTGTTGCCAAGGGACTGCTCTACCCCTTGTCAAACACCCTGGATGTCCAAGGAGAGAAAAAGCCAGGGACTGGCTCTGTGCTTGCACTAGTTCTTGCCTGCCAGCAAAAGATGTTCCTGCCGAGGAACTTGAGTGCAGCTAAAGCCTCCACTGCAAAGTGCCTGGTCTGGCTCCTTGTGAGGACGCAAGGGGACAGTTGGTGATGCAGGGTTGCTTCCCAAGAGTCTTTCATTTAGTTCCTCTGCTAAACTTAAGAAGGTCAACAAACAGCAAAGGAGGGGGTGCATAACCAAAATGGTTTAGAATAGAAACCAGAGCCTCTTTGCCCTCCTCCCTGAGCCACAGTGCTCCCACACAGTTGCCAAGGAACTGCTGCTGTTTGGCAACCACTTTGATGGCCAGTGTGAAATGACTGTCTGATGTCCATCGTGGAAAAAAAGTCTGCCTCAAATTAGTGGCTAATGTGGAACACACTTGGCTTTTCACTCCAAAGCCACCCTTGAAATGGGCAAGTTTTAGAGAAATTATCAATTTGTTCTGGCACATGACCCAGGACATACTTAATTTTTCCCCAAGCTGCACAACCTCCTCTGCTCTACCTCTGCTGTTCCTCGTGAGCTAGGGCTGTACAGCTTCTGTTTTCATTAGCTCTGCATTGCTGCAGCCTTGGCAACCCCTCTCTCTGCTGTTCCAGCAAAGGCAACACAGTGAAGCAAGTTTCCACACTGTAGTGCTAGATAACACCCCTGCATCTTCACATCCCCCGTAACTTCCAAACCCTAGAGCCCTTGGCACTCTCTGACATGGACATCTGGGCTACATTTCAGAAATCTCCCTCCCACTTCTATTGCCAGTGCTCTTCAGAGAATTGCTACACTGGTAACACCTTCCCTTTGCTCAAAAGCCAAGCATCTGGAGCTTCTGTGCTCCAAATCCAGCTTTTCCTTGTTGAACCCCACTTGCAGGCTGTCTTCTCCATCTTAACATGCCTCAGTCTTTATGGAAAGGCTTTAGAAACTCATAGGATTTACCCCAAAGGTAGTTCTTAACGCTCCCTTGTCTCTTTTCTCCTCTCACAATGTTCATGGCATTAGTTCATGTTTAAACAGGAAAATTTCTAGGGCAAAGACAGAGTCTTGCCAGCCTCACAGGATGACACAGAGCCTTCCTCCCGACTCTGAAGTATGCCCATTAATTTCATCTCAACATGTTACACTGACAATTTCAAAAGCAACATATACACATCACTCTTAAATCAGTAGACGACTTTTTCTTCTAGAAGATTTTTCCAACTCAGAGATGGACTATCTGGATAATGCAGATTTTTTAATGTATTATTTTTAAAAAAATAATTTATTTTTGCTGTTTGCACCCAAATTCCACCTAAACCAGCAGCTTTCTCTGCCTGAGAAGCCC